GAGTGTTGTCATTGTGTTAAAGAGTAAATATCATGAATAAATTTGACATTAAACATAATCCAAGTTGAAGTGTGACATCATTTTCAGCCCCCTTTTGGCATCTGCATTTGGTAGCAGACCAAAGTGACAAAGATCATGCAGAATAATGTAGTATTTTAAGTCCACAGCAGAGAAAGCTATGTAGTCTTTTTAAGTAGGTTTAAGGAACAAAATATTGGTACTGGTATCGGCTATTGGCCAAAAATCCAATATTGTGCATCCCTAAATATTTTCAATCTTAAATATTTTTTTGTAAATAACGTTCTAATAATGCTGATCATTTATTGGTTGTAAATATGTCCTGAGTGCAGACAAAAGCTGACAGATTTTTAACATGGGCGGCATGGCAGAGCAGTGGCTCGAGACGTCTCCTCACACCAAGAAAGTCACAGGTTCGTCTCCCGGCCTTTCTGGGTGGAGTTTTCCTGTTCCAACTGTGCATGTAAGGGTTTTCACAAATCAATCTGGTTTCCTCAAACAGACCTAAAAACAACAAAAACATGCATAATCATTGGTAACTCTATATTCTCATTTGTCTCTGTGTGTCCCTGTGATGGACTCGCGACCTCTCCCGGGTGTACTCGTCTCCCAGTGACTGCTGGAGATCCCGGTTCCCCACAACCCAGGACGAAAAAGTGGGTAAACAAAAAAAAAAAAAAATAATAATAAAAGGATGGATTTAAACAGAGTGATCAAAACTGTGGTATTTTCCCTCAAAGTTATTTTACTGTCTAAAGCCTCATTTACAAGACGCCTCAGTCCGGGACTGACATGTTCTGACCACCTCAGTCCATCCAGAAGACACACAGAGGTGGCAAGGAGGGTCCGAAACAGCAGACACCTGTCACGCCATTGTGCTGCCGAGCGAGGTAGTAACAGGGCGGGATGGCCAATGAGTGAAGAAAATAATACATAAATAAAAAGATCTGCGGAGCTGTGGCTCAGGATATTTGTTGCAACCACCAGCTCGTGGGAGTAAACAACAGCAAAACTGAGTTATTATCGAGGGAACATTGATGATGACACAGCACTCATGTAGTTAGTAAAAAAAAAAGTTAACCACAACGAGGATCGCTAAAGGCAGTCAATTCATTATAGTAAATGGCACAAGGGAAAGGGAAATGTCCAACATTTAATGCATGATGGCTTTTGTCTGCAAAATGTTAATTCAATTCAATTCAGTTTATTTATATAGCGCCAAGTCACAATCAGGGCACTGAACAGAAACATTCACAAAGTCAATTAGTAACATTATTTATCTAAAGAAGCCAGCAGATTGTGTTGAGGTGCACTTTGTCGCAATCTCCCATCCTGAGCAAGCACAATGGCAACAGTGGAAAGGAAAAACTCGCCAATAACGGGAAGAAACCTCCAGCAGAACCAGGTTCAGGACAAGCGTCCATCTGCTTCAACCGGCTGGAAAAGTTAAACGTGGGTTTGTTGTGAAACTTTGTGCACAAAAGAGAATAGGAAATTGAAGAGAAAACACGCTGTCGTTTGAGACATGCATGTGGTTCAAAAAGAAAACTAGTTAAGGACCTTAGAGATGGCATTCGAGTTCTAACTGGGTGATTCAGCCACATTATTTGTCAAAATGCTGTCAAAGCAGTGTGCAGTTGTTTTGCTATAAGGAAAACTTAATCAGCTATTTTCCTATCAAAGTGTTTATATAAATCTTAATGAACCGATATGACAGAAGGATAAGAACCGTGATGAAAAACTGGAAAGTGATGAGCTCAATCCTCTGGTTGCCAAGGCGATCCTGCCCAGAAGTGTTAATAATCAACTCCCAGCATCGTACTTCAACCAGTGCCATTATGTCTTCCGTTTAGATGTCAAACAAAAGGTGGGGATTGTGTCACCTGCAAAGGCGGCGACAGCCCCCTTGATGTGACTGGTGCCCTCAACGCCACCAGGATGCTCTCCGAAGAGGAACGACGGGCGGGTGATGAGGATGACTCCGGTGATGGTGAAAACGGTGAAAACACAGTCCCAGATTGTACATTTCTCCTTCAGGAAGATCCAAGCCAGCAGAGAGGTGAAAACTGGATTACTGAGGAATCAATGGGGAAAAAAAACGATGAGAGAAAAACATTAGCGCGGCTGTTTCGTTAAAGAGAAAGAGATTTGTCTTTGATGGAAGTTCTTCAGAATAACCAACAAAGACTACAGAAGATAGATGGACAAGTGTTATAATTCACAAAGGAAAGAATGGATTTGTAATCTCCATATAATCTTAACTAATCTGGAACGGATTGTGCCGGCACTCACCTGAACATGATGACGGTGGCGTCTGCCAGCGGCATCTGCTGAACTGCATAGTAGAGCAGGATCATTGCATTGGAACCGAGGAAACCTCGAAGCACCAGATAAATGCGTTGATCTCTGGGACCGAGGAAACCGGTCCTGGAGGAGCAGGACGAAGATGATGGATGAACCAATGACAGAAAGGAAGGGAGATGACATAGACTGATACAGCAAAAACAATAATAATAATAAAAAATAACAGAAAACAACAGATGGAGAATATCTGAGGGGGCTTGACAAAGTAGCTGGATTAAGAAATAGATAAATTTAGGTGCAGGGTGAATGACAGTGATGCATGAAGTGGGTTGAAAAAGGGGAGTAGAGGCAGATTTATAGTTAATGTATTAAGGTGAAAAATTATGTAGGGGATGAGATGGATTACTACCGAAGTAGATAAATGCCTTTGGGATTCCACTTTATTTTATTTTTCAAATTGATTCTATAAAAGGATGTCTTAACGCCAAACCTCCTAAATCATACCGTTTAGAGAGTTTTGGAATAAAATGAAAAACTTCTTGAAAATAATTAACTTCCTTTGTTTCCAATGGAAGTTAAGGTGAGGAATTTTGGGAATATTCTTAATTAGAGACTTTCCATGGGAACTGTGGGAATTACTTGGAAACTGTGGGTAATGTAGGCAAGGTGCATCATACCTAAAGAATTATATGAACACTTTGTTTCGTCATAGGCAGATAATTAGTTTGACCCAACATTTATAAAAAGTAACCACTGGCCTAATTTGTATATGATGACTTCACGGCGTCACCACCACCGCATTTAGAGAACAATGGATTTTAAAAATGTGCATATTTTCTATTGTTTGTTTTTGGACTCCTCTAAAATATGAACAGAACTGAAAAGAAAAATTGCCAGGGGCGATTCTAGAATCTGATATTTAGGGGTGCTTAGCCCCCATTGCTGATGATGGCTTTTTTGCTTGAACAACACGGTGGCCATTTGCGTCAGAAGCATTTGTAATGTGTGTGTGAGGGGGGTCTGGGGGTCCTTCCCCAGAACAATTTGAAAAAGGTAGATGCCATTTCCTGCATTCTGGCATATTTTAACAGGTTGTTAAACATCTACATTTATCTACAGAATGATTCAATAACTTTTAGAGAACAACAAGAAGTAGCCTGACCAACAGCGCTCCTTGTGTGAATAGAGCACGCTCCGCTTCTCTCAAGCATCCTAACACACCCCCTCCAACACCGGCCGACAACTGTATTGCGGCGCACAACACAGAGGCACTAGCTACGATGCTACAGATGTGCCACTCCGCTTCTCTCACGCATCCTACCCCCCCACCCCCCACCCCCCAGCTCCTGCAGGTAAGGGGCATTTCACTTTGGGACAAGCTGAAGTCGCCAATTGGTCAGTTGCTGACATGGATTGATTAACAGGTGGCGACGAGGATCTGACTCGTGCACAAAATATATTTTTTGTCACTGAATTCACTTATAAACCAAACAAAATTCAGTTAATTTTTTATCACAACATAAGTATTTATAATTCTAGACAAAACCCTTTTCCATCTGTCCATAAATGCTCAGGTGACATCACTTATGTCTTAGGGTGTGGTACCTCTGATTGCTTGGTACAGCAATGAAATCTGGTTGTTTTAGTCAAAATTGAGCTCAAATCTATATTTAAAATCTCTATTAAGGGCCACATTTAAATATTTTTAGTTCCAATTCAATACATTCCTGTGAATTCCCATGGAAAGTTTCCAATTTTTTACAAAATCCTGGAGTTTCACAACCCTGTCAGGAACACAGTCATGCTTACTTGTGATAGATGAGTAACGGCACAACGAAGAGCATCTGGAAGAAGCAGCGTAATGCACTTATCTCTATGGCGTGGACTTCCTGCAGGGTTTTCACCAAAAGGGAAATGATGGAGAAGAAAACTGTGGACAGGAAAGCATAGAACAATCCCAGACCTGGACATCGCTTTGGCTTCTCTGGTCCATGTGAGGATAAAAGAGAGAGAGAGAGAGAGAGAAGATAAAGTAAAACATTCAAGCAAATTGTGTTCTTCTGTGAAAAGGTTATGAACAGTTAATATATTTCACTTGTTATATCAGGAGCTCCTTAATTGGGAATTGTTGACGAGAATTTTTTTTTTTTTTGTGAATAGTGTTTTTATTGTTTCAGCCTTGAACAGACACGTATGACGTTTTTTGTGTTTTTGTGTAGACAGAAAAAAAAAATGCAACTTTTTCAGAATGTTCACACCATAACTCACCTCTTAAGGGCATTCCTCTTTTCGTTTCGTTCCGTTTACATTCCTAACGCAGAATGCAAGTTTTATTCTGCACCTTGCTTTTCCTGGTTTTGGTTTACTTTCATGGAAGTATTGCAAAGCCACATACAGGCGGCGTTTCAGGTCGTTTTTGCGTGTTTCTGTGTAGATGGAGACATTTTTAGAAACTGTCTCATGTTTATGAAATTATTTGAAACAACAAATAAAAGGATTGTTTGGGGGGGTATCTACTTTTTTGTGTGGTCAAGGCCTTAAACTTTAATTCTTCAAACTGTGGAAGTACAATCTGCAACAGGTAAGATATTAAGTGTTCAAAACTTTTCCACAAAGCACCTCTTTATAAGATCTGAATGACTTGACGGAAAAGATTTTGTCTCGAAGCACATCTGGCCAGCTGCTACTGATGCTCGATTCACAAACAATGATACCAAAGTCTTTACAATAATCTTAAAGTAACAGAAGGCTTATTAATGTTATTAATATGGGGAAATGATATTTAATGCATCAGAAAGCTGATCAATAAATAATATATTCCTTTCAAAGCTGTAAAAACTACAAAACAAAAAGACCTACAAAATATTGCACATGCTGCCCTGAAGGGATAACATTTCAATCTGCATTTTTCATACTCTTCATTGTGTAACCTTCTCCACAGTGCATCTTCAACAGGAATATTATGTGCATGAATTTGAACAAGCACCTGAAGTTTATATTTGCTAAACCAGAGGAAAGTTGTTGCTTTCATCTTATTAATCTAACACAAAAATCTCTATAATGTCACACACTAGATTACTGGTTCCCAATGCCGTTTGTGGCGTTTTTATATCCACGTATAACTTATTGTTTGTGTATTTTAATCTGCAATATTTGGGATCACAAGTTTGTGTGGCTGTTATTGAACGTGTCAAAAGCTGAAAAGTTTGGGAACTATTACATTAAATGCAAGCTGAGGCATGTTTAATAAAAACAATATTTACCTCAGCATTACAGCGGTAAACTAGAGAAAGTGCATTTCCTGCAAAAATGCGTTGTGAAGAACTTGATGAAAAACAGCTGAAATGTAGCTGAAATGGAAGAATAAGCCTAAGTTAGCAGAAGCAAACAGAAAAAACAAATGTGCTTAATTACATTTAAATAAGCAGAAATGAGCACAACAAATAGGAAATTAACAAAAAAGCTGAAATTAGCTGAAACAGCTGAAAAGTAGTCAAAATGGCAGAAAGAATCTTAAACTACCAGAAGGAAGCAAGGAGCTGAAATGAGCACAGAAAAAGTGGGATTAGCTGAGGATGCTACAATTAGCATAAAAACAGCTAAATAATAGTAGCTGAAATAGCAGGAAAACAGCTGAAACTAGCAGAAAAAAATGAAAAGAGCATAACAAGCTGAAATTAGCAGAACAAAGTTATTTAGGCTGATACTAGAAGAAATTATAGGAAAAACTATCTGAAAATAGCTGAAATTTGCTTAAAAAATGCTAAAAAAAAAATAGCTACATAGAACAAGCTAAAATTAGCAGAGATAAGTTGGAAGAAGCACAATAATGTTTTAGTTAGCAGAAATAATCTAAAATGAGCAAATAAAAACAGCTGAAAGTAGCTGAAATGGCAGAAATAATCTTAAACAACCAGAAGGAAGTGCAAGGAGCTGAAATGAGCACAGAAAAAGTGGGATTAGCTGAGGATGCTACAATTAGCATAAAACAGCTAAATAATAGTAGCTGAAATAGCAGGAAAACAGCTGAAACTAGCAGAAAAAAATGAAAAGAGCATAACAAGCTGAAATTAGCAGAACAAAGTTATTTAGGCTGATACTAGAAGAAATTATAGGAAAAACTATCTGAAAATAGCTGAAATTTGCTTAAAAAATGCTAAAAAAAAATAGCTACATAGAACAAGCTAAAATTAGCAGAGATAAGTTGGAAGAAGCACAATAATGTTTTAGTTAGCAGAAATAATCTAAAATGAGCAAATAAAAACAGCTGAAAGTAGCTGAAATGGAAAAATAAGCCTAAGTTAGCAGAAGAAAACAGAAAAAACAAATTTGCTTAATTACATTTAAATAAACAGAAATGAGCACAAAAAATAGGAAATTAACAAAAAAGCTGAAATTAGCTGAAACAGCTGAAAAGTAGTCAGAATGGCAGAAATAATCTTAAACTACCAGAAGGAAGTGCAAGGAGCTGAAATGAGCACAGAAAAAGTGGGATTAGCTGAGGATGCTACAATTAGCATAAAACAGCTAAATAATAGTAGCTGAAATAGCAGAAAAACAGCTGAAACTAGCAGAACAAAACTGAAAGGAGCATAACAAGCTGAAATTAACAGAACAAAGTTATTTAGGCTGATACTAGAAGAAATTAGAGGAAAAACTATCTGAAAAAAGCTGAAATTTGCTTAAAAAAATGCAAAAAAAATAGCTGAAAACATAGAACAAACTGAAATTAGCAGAGATAAGTTGGAAGAAGCACAATTATGTTTTAGTTAGCAGAAATAATCTAAAATGAGCAAATAAAAACAGCTGAAAGTAGCTGAAAAATGTTTAAATTTGCACAAGGAAGCTGAAAGAAGCTGAACCAGAACAAAATGTGAAAGGAGCAGTGAAATGTTGTGAACAGAGCTAAAGATTTGAAGGATGGAAAATGAGCTCAATTCATTTCCTATGAGGAAAAAATGGCAGAAAAGGGTAAATATTTCAAAAAGCTAAAGTTGCACCAACACCAAAAATCATAGCAGGACTGTTCTGAAACAGTGGAACATTTTGATACATGATTTGTTGAAATAGCACAAAAATTGTGGAATGAAAAAAACCAAATGAAAATGCAGAAAAACGTATAGAAGAAAAATAAATCACAATAGTGTGAATGTTTCATAAACATTCACACAATAAGAGGCTTCTATTGGTTAGAGGTTTAAACTGTGTTTCTGGATGTGTTGTTAAAGTGGAATAAAAGTTTAAAACATTACTGTGAAAGTGCTGTAATCCTGCCTCTTAAAGGGTGATGGAAAAAATAATAATAATCTGGCTTTCAGCAGCCATTCAGACAGAAAGGCCACACACTGAGCTGCTGATACATTAGACGTGAGAATGAGTTTTACATTTTGTATTTCTTTGACCCACCCTGCTGCACTTGTGCCAGAACGATCCATGAGGCCCCAGTTTTAAAACAAACTGAGACCTCGTGTCATTTTGACCCGAAGGCTGCAGGAAGTTTAATGAGATAATCAGTTTTACAAACAAGAATCCAAACGAACACCACTGTTTCAATCTAAACAGGAAAGTTTAACATTCCTTGAAGTATATCTCCAACAGTTCATGCCAGAGTGATAAACTTAGACCATCTTCTGCTGAACGGTGGCTGAGAGCAGTCGCCCTCCAATGGGAGAGTTGGGGGTTCGATTCCACCAGCAGAGTGTCCCTGGGCAAGGCACGGAACTGAACGCTGAATCTTAAGATAAACAGGTCTGCCTCTGAACCATCATTGGGTTGTAGGTTTACATCTAATGATTACTTTCTCAGTTTTATTAAAACGTTTAATTGTCCAGTTGTTCATGTATGTTACCAACACTCCATCAGCTAATAGTTTTACGCAAAGCTTTTGCTCAGTAAATAATATTTAAGAGTATGTGGCGTGAATGACTTATCTACAAACACACTAAATTTTAACTCAATATCTGTAAAACTGACGGAATTGTAGCCAGTTTGTTTTTTCTAAAAAACACTTGACTGGGATGGCCATTTTGAACTGAACTGACTCCAAAAGTTAATCGCTTGTAGAGGTGAAGCCAGTGATCAATTCCTGAACGTTTTAATTAAATCCCTCCTGTGGATCATGGGATATTCTGCTAACAGACACGAGCTGACTCCTAATAGTTAACAACAATGGCAGCCATCTTGAACTTTGATGACTCCAACTGTTAATAGTACTTGTAGACATACATCAAGTGATAATTTACAGCGAGTTTCATTAAAAGGTGTCCGGTGGTTCATAAGTTGTTTTGCTAACAGACACATAAAAAATAAAAAATAAAAAAACATCCTCCTCCTTAGCCTGTCGGCAGCGGGCGATGATAAACCGTATGAAGGAGTGTCAAGGTCAAGGAGCATAAATTAAAACGTGTAATCCTCTTTTATCGAACAAGCACGTGACCTGTTCTCGCTCATGCATGACGCAGCACGGCGGCGTTACGTAATGCTACGCAGGAAGTCAAGTCCCCGGTTTAATAACTTAACTTCTTGTCGAGATCAAAAACACCGCCATATTAACTCGTAGCGAAGTGGAGATGAGGGGATTTGGACCGAGTGAGCGCGTGCGCCCTCTCTCTCGCTCGCCTACCTTCACGCGCGCTTGCTGAGGAGGATGCTAGCTTGGTGACGCAACACGCCGGCGGACACAGCGTCGCCCTCTTCTCTTCCCGCTGCGAGCTCGCGCTTCTTGTCGCCTCTTCGTCGTCATCGTGACCGAGGCAGTTGTTTCTCAAATGTATCCTCTCCTCCGTCAGTTCGTCGCCACATTCTTCTGCTTCTTGGTCGCAGCAGTTTGGCTCTTCGTGGCTGACGGCTGTGTGACACAGCACAGCCACGTCATCCTCCGCTACCGCGGTGTCCTCCGCCGTTAACTCGCCCATGGTGGTGGTGGGATGTGGCAGCTGAGCGGCGGCAGCATGCCTCGGTGAGGACACAGCCTGATGTCTGTCCGTGTCTCCCGGAGAGACCGAAGGTTAATCACTCACCTTGGTGCCGCAGCAGCTCCCGGTGTGGATGTTCCTTTGACCACAGGGGGGCAGAAGTGAACCCCCACCCAGCTCTGTGGGGAAATTGAAACATTACCCAACACACGTGTCAGTAGGTGTCGCAAGGAACAAAATCAAAATAAAACATTTTTTTACACATTTAAGCACAAAAAGCAGAATTATTAAAGCTTCATGGCCATATAAACTATACTGATATCATAATTTCACTTACCTCCACGAGAAATGCAGCTTAAAAGGTCAGGATTTTTTTTTTTTACTGGGGCTTCTGAACAATCAACATCATACCTGCTATAGATAACTGAACAGAATGCGGCTGGTGCGAGCAAAATGAGACACAATGAGAATTTTTTTCAATATTAAGTTATTAAATTTTCAATGTCTCAAATTATACATAGTTTGTTGAAATTTGATTTATCAACCTGGCTAACAACGAGTTATGTTTGTTTAGGAGAATGGCGGTTTGAAAACTCACTTTTTATCACTCTGGAGGAATGTTGTTGGGAATTCGAGCTTTTTTTTTTATTATTTATTTTTTTATTTGTTTTTAGATGAATCAGGCTTCACAATGATGCTAAACATATGGAGGGATTTCCCATTGCTATGACAACTGTCAGAGAAATAATGTAAATTTCAAAGAAAATTAAAAGCATTAGATTTAAAAGGATTATTTATGAAGAAATTCCTACTAGAAAACTTTGATCCAAAGGTATATTAGGAATATTTTTTATGCTATTTTACTTACCAGGGATTGCTAAATGGTGTTTTTATAGACACATTTTTATGCGAGTCTGAATTACAGCCAAAATAATATGTCCAATAATGTATCGTCATGCCAGCACAGCTTATAAATGCAGTTCAAAGGTAGTACTCATTGCAATATCATGAATGCCAGTTAAATAATAAATAGATAAAAGAAACAAAATTTGCACAACACATTTCTTTCATTGATGATTAATATGTGACTGATTACCTCTCATATAACCACTCTTTAAAATGGACATGATGTCCCTTTAACTGTACCAGATTAACAAAGATTTTACGGTGGTGCCATAAAATAATGAATATTTTTGTAATATGTAATCAAAACATTCAGAAATTTTACATTATATATATATATATATATATATATATACACAATGACTGCTGTTTTTAATATACAGTATGTGCAACATATTTTTGTACATGCAATACAGCTGAGATTTTTCGTGTGTTTTGGACAGAAGAACAAAACAAATGTCCAGATTTAGCCTTTTATTTCTACTGTTCATAAAACACAATAGACATGATGACAAAGAAATACATATATTCTATCTTTAATAAACCATCACACATACATTTATAATGGGCTACACTATTTGACAAACTATCTTCAAATGTTTTCCTTTTTTTTTTTCTATTCTGAATTCTACAGGCTTTCAAAAATAACACAGTTTGTACCCGTCTACAAAAGTATTATAAATTACACACATGTTGTAAACAAGTAAATGCTTTATTTGGCAATTTATTGTTTGGGAAGGTGTTCATGTTATATACTTGTCTTCTTTTAGTGTTAGTGTAGCAAGTGCTGTGGTGGTTAGCTTTTAGTTGTGGAGTAAAAAGACAACAATGGTATTGTCACTGAGGGAGAAAAGGGGTTAAGAGTAACACAGTGGGACGCTTCTAGTGCGTCATTCATTAGAAACCAGCACCATGAGTGTATGTTTCTCACAGTTTCTCACAGTGCTTGGTTGATTTGTTTGTGTCCCAGTTCACTTTAGGCAAAAAAGACAAGAAATGAAAGTTGACCTAAGAATGAGTTTTGTTCTCGAGGGGTGTAACGGTACACTTAAGTCACAGTTCGGTACATGCCTCAGTATGAAGGTGACAATTTAATTTAGATTTTTTTTTTTATAGATAATAACTCCCAGAAGCAAAGACAAAAGAACATTTAAAAACACCCTTGTCAGTAGGGAGAATCTAAATTACTAGTGCATGTACCATACCATACCATACCAATTTATTTATATAGCACTTAAAACAGCAACAAGGCCAACCAAAGTGCTGTACAAAAGAACCAAACATGCACAGCGGACAGGAAAACATAAAATAGAAATACAGATACAAATAGCAGCAGAAGCTAACTAAAATGGCCAACAGAGTAGAGAACAGACCGGACCAAAACAAATCACACCGTGTTAAAGGCAAGCGAATAGAAGTGGGTCTTCAAGCGAGACTTAAAGACTGAGAGTGTGGGAGCCTGCCGGACACTCAGTGGCAACTCATTCCACAGTCGTGGACCTGCAACAGAGAAAGCCCTGTCACCCCTGAGCTTACGACGGGTTTCTGGGACTGAGAGAAGCATCTGGTCTGCTGACCTCAGAGAGCGCGGTGGGACATATGGCTGCAGAAGATCAGTGAGATAGGATGGGGCGGAACTGTTCAGTGATTTAAAAACATACATGAGAATTTTGAAATGGATCTGAAGGTGAATGGGTAGCCAGTGCAGGGAGGCCAAAACTGGCGTGATGTGCTCTCTATAGCCTGTACCAGTTAAAAATCGGGCTGCAGCATTTTGGACCAGTTGTAGACGAGCAATGGAGGACTGACTGATTCCAAACAGAAGTGAATTGCAGTAATCAAGCCTAGATGTTATGAAGGCGTGGATCACTGTCTCAAGGTTCTTTTTGTTGAGTATAGGCTTCAGCTTAGACAGCCGTCTCAGCTGAAAAAAACAGGATTTGACCATCATGTTTACGTGACTGTTGAGTTTTAAGGACGGGTCCATTATCACCCCCAGATTAGTCACCTTTTGTTTCTATAGCGGGGCTAGAGAGAATAGGTCAATGTCATAGTTCATGAGTGAGCCACTGGGATGGAACAGCATGACTTCAGACTTCTTCTCATTGAAGCTTGATGTACAGCATTATATGTTGTTTTAACTGGTAAATTCACTATAAAATCAAAAAAAATCTAACTTTACTGTCTTTTTTTCTGAACAGTAAAGAATAACACGCAGGTCATGCGTCAAACAGAAAGTTTGCGAAACTCCAGAAAGGTGTCTTTTAAGAAAACATTGCAATAAAGTAAATTAAAACCCAATACAAGGAGTTTATGCTTTGATCATTTGAACCAGATGTAAACTAAAACGTAACACATAATTGTATGAATGTGGGAAAATACAAAGTGAATTAAACGTGAAACACTCAAACGTCTCAGATAAGTACAAGTGTGAAAAAAAATACACTTGATATCTGGGATATTGGCTATACAAATGTCTTGCCACAGTACTTTTTAAAGCATAGCTTACATAATACAACTCCCTGCCATACCTGCACCTCTCATCTTACCACTGCAGTGTTCAGCAGTCAACGATAATGGGAGCTTTTTGTGGAAGTCCTTTGAAATCTGAGTGTTGTTCTAAAACTAACAAAGCTTTGTTTTAGTGTAGTGCTTAAATAGTGTCTTTCTTTGCTCCATTTTTGATGGAGCTGTCTGTAAAATACAGTTAAATGAATTAAATGAGAGCGGTGGGAACCTGTGATTTACGTATTTGCCGTCAGTTCACTGTCCAAAATAAATGTACCATTACAACCCCACTGATTTCAATTACCTTCAGTCGGAAGTCTAAATTAGGTACTTGGCTATAATGCTATATCAACAAACTAGCCATAATGTTGCTAACTACATAATGGAAGTGAATGCAAACAATATTTCCGTATGTTTTTTGAGATTGTCGTTTTTTTTACAAGCTCTCTGTCAAGACAAGTGCTTCTAAAGGCCTCTTATGTCACAGTATGAGGTTCAAATGTCTGCAACTCCCAGTCAATCAGCAGACATTTAGAAGCCTAAATGTTTTCAGCTTTAGTTGAACAATCAATATAGAGACAGAAGACAAATAGGTGACGAAATATATTTGACTAAAAAGTAGGAGGGATTATTCCAAATAATTTGAGTTAAAAATAGCTTTATCATTACCTGTTGATAATGGGCGTCTAATAATTCTTACTTGGGTCAGTACATTTGTTGGGCTGAATGGTTTGAGAAGCACATTTTATACATTAAAGGGATTACCGTATTAAGATTTTTTAAAAGCAGGGTCTTGTGGAAAGGTTATGAGCAACTGTAGATGGTTCAATAAGGCGGTATAATTTTATGCCACAAACCAAAATATTCTAGAAATCAGACCTTCATCATCTACTCTAAGAGCAACCATGTTTCAAACTACAGATATTGTTAGAAAACTGCATTTATAGCTGGTCCAGAACCAAAGTGGATGACTGCTACTTTAAAACAGTTTCAATCTATAAATTATATATCTTATTTTATGTAAACACTAAATTATAAACTTTTCCATCGCTCTCAGTTTCACACTACCCAAACATTTTAGCAGAAACATTATATTATAATAGAATTGCTATAGTTAGCTAGTGTTACAGTTTACACTGGCAAATAACCCTGTGATTTTATGTAAATGTTTAATGTGAAAGTGACAACAATAAAAAAAAAAAAAGTTTTAAATAAAACTGTTTGCAAGAATAACCTATGAAATGTTGAGGTTGGAGATGTTTTAGATTAGCATCCATCTACTTTAATCTTGGGATTGGCAAGCTATTAGCTCGTCTGTAAATTCAGATTTAAACTCCACCTCTCCAATCTAAGGCCATTCAAAGTGCTATCTACAACAGGTAAGATGTCAATTGTTCATAACCTTTCCATACAACCTCACTTTAAAAGATCTAAACTATTGCCTTAAATTAGATGCCATCACATTCCCAACTTCCTAAAAAAAAAAAAAAAAATCTAATACAGGATGATCATAATTTCACAAAAAAGTTGCAGAGTTTTAAAAAAATCATTGCCAAGCAGCATGGAAGCTGTTCTGGCAGTAGGTTGTAATGAAACTCATTCCTAAGACCATTTATTTTTGATTTTCCTTTCATTTCTCTACATGTCTGTATATTACAAAAGCGTTTACCGGAGTTAAATTCCCTGAAGTGACTTGTTAAAAAAAAATAAAAAATGAGAAAATATTTTATCTCTATTTTCCTACAAAAAATGTTTTCATTCTTTTCCCAAGTATTTAATGGCCAGCGATTCCCAGATAGATAAAACCAAGAATGCCAACATAAAGGTCTTATCAAATAGTTATAACAGGCTGTTAATTATAAGGGACAGTGAAAAACAGCACATAGACATTATGACGTGTCTGACTTATCAAATTAAATCTTTGAGACAACTGTCCCATACACACTATGACTTTATTCACTCAAATCAATCATAATGTGCTCGTATATCTGAGTTTTTCCCTTGAAGCTGGATGCGAACAGAAACGCTCGGTTGTCAACGGAGACCACAGAAAACCCCCGAGGCGCCTGAATGCTGAGCTCCTGAGATGGGACAAACTGGCCTCTCTTAGTATCCCATTGGTAGACCTGCGTCAGTGAATAATCGCTGCCCAAGATGGCGTACTGCCATTTACCGACAGAGACGGGCTGGAACACCATGGAGCCGCGGGAGGGAAATGTCTGGACCTCTTTGAACATGGCACCGTCCCAGCGCATCACCCGGGAGTCCCCGATGAATCTTGTCAAGCATATGAAGAGATCACCTTTAAAAAGGACAAAGATTCAAGGGACTGTTTGGCGCAATGATTAAGGGTGAATCTGAAGTAGAAAAGCTCACAAAAAAAAAAAAACAGTTTACGTAATTCCCTAAATAATTCGTTGCTTCAGTAATGACCACTGAGAGTTTAGATGAACCTCAAGACACACTTTTGTCTTGATGAATTTAAACATAAACTAGCTGGGCTGTGTTTCTCTTACCAAAGCTACACTTCTTACCTTTGACCCGAAAGTGTTTGACAGAGAAAACGTCCTCCATATCCGGTATGTCAGTCCTGCGGTCAAACTTTTTCTGGCTACGGTTCCACTGGTACACGACTGGCCTCTGAGAGCTGCTGGACAAAATCAGGTGGGGCTTGTTGGAGATCTCCAGGTATTCGACATCGGTGTCCCTGTACCATGGGTGAAGGGACTGGTGAAAATAGAAACCAATGCCGTTCCATTTGTACACAGTTGTGGAGCCAGCCTACAGAAGGGGCATGAATATGAAATGTTAGCTTATGCTTTTGTTGTGAGTTGTAAAGTGTGAAGAGCGCGTGTGTCCCCAAACATATGTGAGAGCATATGCAAACATTTGGCAATAATAGGCTAATCAGTAGGAGCAGACACAAGCTGACATGTTGCAGACAACAACACCATAGAGCTGGCAGACGTGGCATTATTTAATCAGGGGGGCACAGTAAGATTTCTTTAGTATTGCCAAAACATGTTGAAGTGTCTTCTCTAAAGTAGAAATACTTGCAAACACAGAGAGAGAGATTCTGACCTTAGAGCTGTCAGCGATGACAAAGAAAGACTCTCCATCAATCACAAATGTCTCTATATCATTGGGTTTGCGGATCCTCAGGATGTCAATATCTTGGATCTTGATGAACTTGTTGGCGGAGGAGTCACGTTTGTAAATGTGTGAGCCTCCAAACAACTGGGCCACCATGATGAAGAGGTGGTTATCAATCACCATTGGCTTGCAGACAACAGTGGAGGTGCCTCAAAATATTAAAAAGAAAGAAAAACATAGAAATTACATTATTGCCATTGGTTGGAAAACATTCAGAAATACTGACAATATGTTTGCACCACCTTAAAAGCATCAATTTGTCTTTGGAAAATAAAACTACAGTTAATATCTGTAAGCTAAAAGTAGATTAATTCAATATACTTTACTGTCAGAGCTGTAGTGCAAATTTACTTGCAAAAATCACGTGAAATTAAAGTACTGCTTTTGCAGTAAAAATGCTTTTTGAGGATGATAGATTATGAAAATCAGTTGTTTTGTTTTTACTTCATTACTTTTGTGTTAACAAAATGTATTAAATTAAAGCTACAAGCATACAATAATAGACATTTTGCTCATTTTGTCCAACAGCGCCAACGAAAAAGACAACAAATAAATGTGATGGACTGTAATATGATAAATAAGATAGGGGGAAACACTAAAATTATTTGTATTTAAGAAGTTCTCCACTGTCAGAGCTAAATGTTTAAAAATTGTGACAGGATGTGTTTACTTGGACAGATCTACTTCAAACAACCCTTTACAGTGGCTTTACAATAAATAAAAAAATCAGCCTATAGTTCAATATATTGTAGAATTTGAGCTGCTCTGTAAATCAGCTTCATTTCTGAATACTTTGGATTTTGATACCCTAAGCTTTTATTTGCTATAGCTATAGACTTTAAACTCAGGAGCAAGAACCACACGAGGAATCCCACTGCTGACACCAAATTGTTGTGGCAAAAACACAAGGGAGACAGGATGACCCAGTATTTAGATTATTATTTTTTTGTTATAAATAAATATCTAGCTGAAAACCCCTGGGATGAGACGATTCCAAATGACAGGCAGACTCTAACCTAAGATTGCCAGTGAGCTTATGAGCAAGACATAAGGCCATTAGTGTCTTAACAGGAGGGCTGTATCAATTCGTGGCCAGCATATTCTAAAATTTAACTATTAGAAGCTACAAACTACACCTGGCAATTCTATTGTCTTCTAATGCAAACATCTCACAAGTCTTTTAAGTAAATCATATTTTTCCACAGAAATAATAATACTAAATGTGGATTTTTATTGTGCAGCACGGTGGCGCAACTGGTAGAGCTGCTGCCTCTCAGCAAGCAGGTCCCTGGTTCAAACCCCGGTCCAGGGGCCTTTCTGGGTGGAGTTTGCATGTTCTCTCCGTGCATGCGTGGGTTTTCTCCGGGTACTCCGGTTTCCTCCCACAGTCCAAAAACATGCATGTTAGGCTGATTGGTAACTCTAAATTGTCCTTAGGTGTGAGTGAGGGAGTGAATGATTGTTTGTCTCGTTTGTCTCTGTGTGGCCCTGTGATGGACTTGCGACCCGTCCAGGGTGTACCCCGCCCCTCGCACAGTGATTGCTGGACATGGGCACCAGCGACCCCCGTGACCCAAAATGGAATAAGCAGGTAAAGAAAATGGATAGATGGATGGATGGATTTTTATTGCTCTTTTATAATTTTTTGCTAGCAACAAATCATCCATAAACAGGAAGTCGGTCCCAGCAGCTCTTCCTTCGATTTTACCCTCGAATGGTTCTCCCATTGAGTTTGTCAATTCCTACAAATATTTGGGTATCTTGGTCAATGCACATCTCTCTTTTTGTCACGCTCAGCGGCCTCCGCTGCCCCCCCATCTGCCTAAGCCTCTGCTCTTCATATCACAGCCCCTGTTTTAAGATCATTCACGTTTTTTCCTGCCTCAGTTTCTGTTTATTTCATCCTGTTTGGTCCTGCACTGCCTATCACCCATTTTCTGCTCCTGTCACTCTCTCTCAGCAATCTGCACTCATCTGCTGCACCCTGTCTCTGCAATCACCACTCACCTGCCACACCTGTTCAGCTCACTACTTAAGCTCCACTCTCACTCTCCTCAGTGCCAGATTATTGAAAGCCTCACAGCCAGTAAATTATCCAGCATTCGTTCGTTCCTAGTTTCTTCGTTTTTGACCACAGCTTCCCTCTTGATTCCTCGTTTTGACTTTGCCCCTGTCTGGATACCACGCTCTCGGCCTACATGGTACAACCTCGCTCTCCTCTTCGACCACGACTACGGATCATCCTTTTGCCTGTTCACACAGCTCCTGGCTCTCGACCCCTGCTACGTCCCTGGATTCTGTTTCCTGCCCAGCCCTCCAACGTTCTCTGTCTCAGCTCTGCTCCTGCCACAGAAGGTTAGTGACGTGCACACCACCTCTCAGCTCCCAGAACCTTTTTTGCAGTCACTAGCCTGTCTGTCTTCATAGATTGGACCAGAACTGAGGCTCAGATCCTTCAGACAAACGCCTTTAATAAAATAAAACCTTTTATTTTAATATTGTCCTGAGTCAGGTGTTGTGCCGATCCATACAGACTCGTTACACTTTTAAGCTTCACGTGGAAAACATGGTAAGGAAACTGAAAGTTAAACTGGGTTTATTTTTCAGAAATAAATCCTGTCTAACTCTGAATGCTAGGAAACAACTTTTATCTGTGACTTTCCTTCTCTCCATGGACTATGGTGACATTATCTACACGAACGCTCCTTTAAGCAACCTGCAGATGTTGGATGCTGTCGATCATGGTGCGCTAAGATTCATAACTGGCTGTAACTATCATACCCACCACTGCACCCTGTATTCACTGGTTAACTGGACATCATTAACTTCACTCAGACTCTCACTGGTAGATTTTCATCTTTAAATCACTTCTTGGTCTGCTGCCTTCATAAATCTCCTCCTACATGTCTCTGCGTGAGTGCAGCTACAACGTGCACTCTCAGGACATTATTACCTGCAGTGTTCCCTCAGTGCGGACTGAACTTGGCAAAAGGGCCTTCTACTCCGCTCCTGTTTCCTGGAATATCTTGCAAAAAAGATCTGAAGCTCTCGACCTTGACCTCTCTAAGTGGCTTCAAACATCTAAGTTCCTGGCAAAAACCAATGCAGACATGTTCTTGTTTTTAGTATTTTACATCGCCCTACAACCTAGCTTTTTTGTTTGTTTGTTTGTTTAATTTTTAATGCAATTTTCTTTCACTGTTCTTCTCAATTTGTATGCTTCCTTTTGCGATTCTCTACTGTTGTCATCACTCTTTGTTAGAATCAGGTCTCGCTTGTAAATGAATCCCCGTGGATTAACCTGTATAAATAAAGGTTGAATGAATCAACTATTTTCCAAAGAAAAAACATTTTCATTTTCCCAGTATTTGTTCACTTTTTGCTTCATGAACCATTGTTTACCTCTAGTACTTACAGTATATCTCTAAAATTGATCAGTAAAGTATGACTTGCCCTCTCAAGTTCAATCACCTTAAACTGGATTGATTTTCTCTCACTGCTGATGTTTTTGGACTCATTGCACTAAGTGAACATTTTGTCTCTCAGTGACACTCACATTAATGATTGTATTAGAGCTGCCATTTCCACTTTATGTTCTTGATTTGTTTTTAAACTCACTTTCAATAGTGTCATAAGTTCTGAAAGTCATCTCAACATGATCCCATTCCAGGAAGCTGCAGGTTCCAGCAAAGGGCTGAGCGAACACAACGTACTCCTCATTTCCAAAGGTGAAGGCCTCCACTGAAATGGACTCAAACTTCAGCAGCTGATAGGAAGCAAACTCTGAAAAGTATGATGCAGCAGACTTTAATCTCAAAGTATTGAATTCATAATCAGAGAGCAGGACAAACAGTCTTGAACATTTTGATCGACTAGCAGCACTGACACAACACTTTAAAAGAATGTTACCCGTCATGATGCAGTCAAAAGAGTGTGGGTGCAGGTCGTTGATCTTCTTCCCTTGGTGAACGGGTGGGCCGCTGCAGAAGATTTCATCCAGGGTGGCATTGGTGTGATGCATCCACTCCACCAACCACTTCATCTTGCAATCACAAATCAGATTGTTGCCTCTCAGATCTCTGCATGCACAAACAGAAAACAGATACATGTTAAGGCATATTATATATACTATTTATCATTAAAACAGTGATATATAGTGTTTTTTAGTCCTTGTTCAAGGGCTCTGTGTTGCTGTGAACCTTGTCTCTCACTCTTTGGTTTTGAGCCAACAAGTGTCCTAGCTCCCGAGTTCTCTCTGCTCATCACACACTCGGTCTGAGCAGCTATCGACCTTGGATAAGAGTCTGAATCCACAGACACTCACACCACTGTAGTTGGTTGTGACAGGGCGACCAAAGACTCAATCCATTTTCTTCCCTCTGTACTTGTTTACCAATTACTCAGACACTCTGCCACCCTAACCCAAACTTTCTTTTTCTTTCCTTATTTCCACTTTAAAAAAAAAATCGTTACTATTAAAGCATGTAAAGGCATTGTTTTGCCTTTTTTCCCCCCTCTCTCAAATGTTCCCAAAAGAAGTAAAACACATAGAACACTGAGGAACTTACACTTTGGTCAAAGCATCCATGCCCTTGAAAACATCTTTAGGTAGTGTTTCCAAGTTGTTGTAAGCCAGACTCCTAAACAAAAAGAGGAAAAGTACACAGAGCTTAAATTAGAAGCAGATTTACATCTGTAGATAAACAGATGAATCCAGTTTTCTACAATCATTACATCATATGAGAGAATGTGTATGGTTGGATCATATTCTTGATTAATATCATAGTCCAACATGTTCGAGTTGCTGTGACTTGGAAAGAGACCAATTCCATTTAAAAATCAAACGTACACATTATGATTGTTTTTAAACTAGTTCCAGAAATCTTTGTTGATTAAAAAGCAAAACATGCATAGCAATGTGTTCAAAGAATAAACTCATTTCATTTTTTTCAAGCACGGTGGTGGAGGGTTGATAATTTTGGCTTGTTTTGGAACGGATCACCTGGCTCAGTCAAAGTCCAGACCTCAAAGAGACTCTGTGAAAGAGGTGAGCATCAACAAATATCTTTGAACCTCAAAGAACTGAAGCAATGTTGTAAAAAGATTGAACCAAAATCACAATTTGGAGTGAGATTGATCCGGTATTACAGAACGTTTTCAGTTCAAGTCATTGCTGCTAAAGTTGTTTCACATATATAATAAAGGAGTGCGCTTGTAATCACTGTTTTAATGTTTGGATGTAACCCACGCTTACAGTATATCATTATTTATAGGGATGCACAATATTATCTGCATGGTATCTGCATGGTATCGGCCGATATTGGCGATAAAGTTAAATATCGGACATTGGCCATTTCATCAAAAAAACTCAGATATAAAAGGCACTATATATACCTGTGTATATATATGACGTAATGACGTCACAGGTACCGTTTTGTGGAAATTTACAAATTTGCACTGTTCAAGTGTTGTCATTGTGTTAGAGAGAGTAAATGTCATGAATAAATTTGACATTAAACATAATCCAAGTTGAAGTGTTACATCATTTTCAGCCTCCGTTTTGGCATCTGCTTTTTATCAGGCCAAATTGACAAACACCATGCAGAATAATGTAGTATTTTAATTCCACAGCAGAGAAAGCTATGTCTCTGTAAGTAGGTCTAGGAAAACAAAAACATTGGTATTGATATCGGGTATCGTCCAAATAAGTTTTCACATATCGGCATATCGGATACCAGCCAAAAATCCAATATTATGCATCCCTAATTGTTTCCAATGCTGCATCTGATTTGACTTGATTTGGACCACTTAAAAATGTAATGCTACTTAAAAAACATTGTTTTTTTTTATGCAGATTGCTGCTCAGTCACAAAAACTCTCTTGCAAGCAAATTATGATCAATATCTTTCAAAGGGTAATAAAATGATCCAGTTAATGTATTCTTCCTGCAAAGGCTAAAATGTCCATGTCTTTATAAAAATTACAACATGTAAACAAAAAAAAAAAGAAATTTTAAAATACAATTTTTGTGTTTAAAGTTTTGCATTTCTTTTTTTTTCTGCAATCGGTAATAAACTTCTTATGTTGTAGCTATGGTATTATTAGTCTGCACTATGTTACATAAAGTAAGGAAGCACCTGGTAGAAAGTCAGGGACAGATTATAGTTTGGTTTAAAGTTACAGCACAGCTATATATAGATTTGACCTGCAGGTCACTCATGTCTCAGCTACCTTTTAGTTTTAGCAGTTTACACAGTTCATCAGTTATTATATCTAAAACAAATATATAAAATGGGTTATTTGACAAAATAAATATTTTCTCTATCAAGCTAGACACAGTTGATACCTGATATTGCTGACATTTTCAGACAGTCACCTTGCGTTCTGACCGCTGGCAGCAGCAATTCTTCCTTCGCATTACAGGCAGTGACAAAGTGATACAGCAGCAGAAAATAGACACAGATGCTTTACAATGCCTTGTATTCTAAAACCTTTTCTCATGGAGATGCTGCTTTTGAGAAATAACATCAACAGAAAATCTGGTGGCTATGAAGACTTCTGAACATAACAAATCAGAATAATAATTTAACAAAAAATCAATAAAAGATCTAAAAATAAATAAATATAACAACGAGCCACTGGGTCAGATATGTGGTTAATACTTGGGTCAAAATCCATGTGAAAAAAGTGGAAGCGTTCAGCAGACACTTCCACCCGGACAACATCAAGTTTACCAGAGAGGACGCCAGCGACAATAAGCTGCCATTTCTAGACCGTTTGGTGAACGTGGAAAGACATGGAAGTCTTAACATTGAAGTTTACAGGAAATGTACTCGCACAGATCAGAACCTTCTGTTTAACTCTCACCACCCACTGGAAAACAAACTTTCTGTCAATAGAACCTTACACCACCGGGCCAAGCATGTACTCGCAAAGACAAAAGGGAAGGAAAAAGAACAGAAACACATCAAATAAGCTCTACAAACCCGTGGATAGCCCAACTGGACCTTTGTCAAATCAGCAAACAAATCCAAAAAATGATGCTGCAGAACAGAACAGGGAGAAGAGCAAACGTAAACAAACATTGCCATCCCATCGACAGTGTTGATGTCGATGATGGAGTCAACGGGGGAGAGGGCGGGCCCCAGAAACCATCTTATCACCATCAAACTGGTTGGTCCACTATGAGTGTGCTGCTTGTGGGACTGAGTTTGTTGTGGCTCCTCGGACTGATGAAGTCCTTTGGATGAAAGACGAAATGTTTCAGCACAAAGAAACCATCCAGAGGACCTGACTTAACTTTGTTGGATTTTTTTTTTTTAACCTGGATAATTGAGCATGAACTTTGATGATTGTCATTCCATATGTTGCTGGAACATCTCAAGGACCAATGCATACATGTTCCTGTTTTTAGGTTTCTACATTCGCCTTACAATCTAGCTGTTTTTGTTACTCTTTTTGCCATCTTATTTGTTAAAAAAAAAAAAAAAATCTGTATGCCTTTTTATAACTGTGCATTGTTGTCATCATTCTTTGTTGAAATCAGGTCTCTCTTGTAAACGAGTCCTCGAGGCTCGATGGGATTTACCTGTCGAAATAAAGGTTGAATGAATCTGAAAAACTCTGAAGGATTTTCTCCTAACACAACATCCCGGTGCTTTTTAAAGCCCACAGAGAGACAAGGACAGAACCTCCAAATCAAAACTAAGCGGTGTTATGTCTGCAGTTCAGTGCCATGAGGAATGTTCATATCTCTATATTGGAAAAACTTAACGACCTCTCCACAGATGCATGGCTCAACACCAGAGAGCAGCTCTTCAGGACAAGACTCAGCAGTCCACCTGCACCTCGAGGATAAGGGACACTCATTTGAGGACCAAAATATGAATATTTTGGACAGAGAAGACAGATGGTTTGAGAGGGGGTGAAGGAAGTCATTTACATTAAATGAGAAAAAAACAACTTAAAACAGAGGAGAAGGTCTCAGATTTCATGCAGGTGACCAAAACATCTCTGTGAGCCTGCAGGCAGGCAAAGAGCCTAATGAGCCTCCACTGTGAGGGCGGGTAGTTCCAGTCTAACCTGCTGATGAATCTAATCCACAACCAGGCTTCTCGTTCATTTTTATAAAGCATGGAACGCCACATACTCCAGACACTTTAGAATTGATAAAGCATCCCGGATGAGAAGAGAAATGTCTTCAGCTTTAGAATAGAAGTCCAGCTGTTTATTTATTTATTTATTTTTTTTAGCATTTTTTTAATTAAATGAAAAATAAAGCAAATGACAAATCCAAATTTGCCAATACGGTTATTGGAAACACAAAACACTTACAGATGTATGAGAACCTTCAGGCCCCGGAAAGCATACGGAGATATTGATGCGATTCTGTTGTTTTCAATGAATCTGCGAATGACACATTATACTCTAATGAATCAAAGTAATCAACACTCTGCAGCAGTTTGTACAATTGTAGTCACATATTTCCATTCTATTATGTCAAATATTATTCTGCATTTTGTCTCTTTAGCAGCTGAAAGAGGTTTACTGCAACGTTGGAAGTGGAAAATATCCTAAATACAAAGTACCGTATTTTTTGGACTATAAGGCGCACCAGATTATAAGGGGCATGAAGCGAAACTAAACAGCCAGATAAGTCAAATTTTATTCAACTCGTTCACAATAACTCTCAACATTGTTCAGCTGTATCACATAAAATCAGTTCGAGGTCAGTAAGCACAACCAGAATTAAAGTGCACCGTATTAAGGCTCACTGTCGATTTTTGAGAAAATTAAAGGATTTTAAGTGCGCCTTATAATCCGAAAAACACGGTAATAAAAACTGTTCTGTAAATGTGCTACACGAGTGACAATGTGAACCCAAAATTATGCACGCTGTATTTAAATGTTGGAGCTCAATGACAGAAAATCAAAAAACTCACTAAAATTTGTCAAATTCAGTTCAACTGACTCTTGCCGAAAGCCACTTAAAGTACTTTGTTTAAATGAAAGTACTTTTACCGACATCAGTTTATAGAGATTTAAAGTTTTAGATGTGTTGATTTTAGAAAACTAAAGGTAAACAGCAAAGTTAAAAGACAAATGTTTTCAAAACTTTGATCTAATTTATTACAGAATGGAAGTAAATTATATTTAACACTTATGAGGAAAATGTAAAAATACTTACAAGTATTCAAGGTGTGCTAACCCCTGAAAGGCATCTTCATCGATTAGGTCAAACGAGTTAGCCGTGAACAACCTGAAAGAACACAAGGGCGACAAAAACATGGTGCACCTCAACAGACTGACAAAAAGCAGTGATTTTTTTTTTTTCCAAACAAAAATTTAAGTAAAACTTTAAAAATAAGCAACATGTTTATGATAGAACAGTTTGATAATTATCATTACACAATGTCAAAAAGAACAAGATCCATGCATTTGTTTACAAATGCTCTTGTCCTCACAAAAAACTATTCATAGCGAGACATCTATACTAAATTATAAATTTCCTTTCCTCAGTAAAAAAAAATAAATAATAATAATAACTTTTTCATGGTATTTTTCCTCTGATGCATATTTTTTTCATATTTGAAAGAATTAACATTTGGGACAATTTCAAGTCATCTGAGATTTTGATGCAACTGATGCAAAGAAACATGTTTTTCTGAGACCAAAGGATGCTTGTCTGAACCATTTTTAGCATCCATCCATCCATCCATCCATCCATCCATCCATCCATCCATCCATCCATCCATCCATCCATCCATCCGAGGGATCCCAATGTGTTCCCAGGTCAGAGAGAATATGGTAGTACCTCGCTACTTCGCTGTTCGTTTTTCGCTGACTCGCTCTATCGCGGTTTTTCAAAATAAAATTGGACATGACACACAATTGGCTGATTGATGGATGAGCTGCACGATCAGTAAGGAATTTTTATTTTAAAGAAATTATTTAAAATTATTTAGCCCACAGCTACAGAAAAAGCTTCCTCCTGCACCAGTGTGCAGCCCAAGCTAGCATGCAGCATGTCAGATCTCTGCTCTCAGCGGAGAAGTGGGCGTGGCCAAGAGCGCAGGCATTTGGCAGAGAGCATCTGAGGCAGAGAGCAGAAATCATGACATTTTGTTCTATTTTAGAGTGTTTAGAGTTTAAAAACATTGTTTACAATACTACTTACTTCTTGTACTACTATTCCTACTTCGCGGTTTTTCACTTCAGGGTATGGATCCCCCGCAAAAACGATAGACTACTGTATAAGGTTTTCCAGCAGGTTTTGCGCTGGGGTTTCCTTTCTGTGTGATGTGCCCAGAAACCCTCCAGAGGGAGTCATCCATGCAGGAAACATCTTAACCAGATGCCTGAACCACCTCAACTGGCACATTTCGGTGTGGAGGACCTGCAGCTCTACTCGGAGCTCTGCAGAATGACACAGTGGCTCAGCTTATCTCTAAGACTGTGCCCAGCCATCCCGAGAAGGAAGCTCATTTCAGCTGCTTGTATCCAGAATATTATTCTTTTGGTAATGATCCACACCTCATAAACATATGTGAAGGCTGGAACAAATAAAGACCAGTAAATTGAGAGCTTTGCCTTTTTGATTTGCTCTTTTCAAACCACAAAGGACAGAAACAACACCAGTGGACATGACCCTATTCCATCCATCCACCACCCCCTGCATCCTATTTAACCCTATTTCTACAAACTGAGGTCATTCATAGATATATCTCCAACAAGATAATATTTTTGCATAAACTTTCCACAGCACCCCACTTTAAGGATCTGAACTATCACTTTATTTGTTTTTCTCTCATAATCTACAGACAAGACAACACTATTCCTTTCAGTCCCTGTTGTTGTGTGGTCTATTGCATAATGATGGCACCAATTGGATGGATGGATGGATGGATGGATGGATGGATGGATGGATAGATAGATAGATAGATAGATAGATAGATAGATAGATAGATAGATGGATGGATGGATGGATGGATGGATGGATGGATGGATGGATGGATGGATGGATGGATGGATGGATGGATGGATGGATAGATGGATAGATGGATAGATGGATAGATAGATAGATAGATAGATAGATAGATAGATAGATAGATAGATAGATAGATAGATAGATAGATAGATAGATAGATAGATACTTACAGGAGTTGTAGGTTAGGTGTGTGAACAAAGCTTCCTCCTGTGATTTCATTAAATCCAGACTTGACAAAAGATCTGAGTAAAAGTGAGAGGTATACTCCATCATTTATGTGCCTTTTAAGAGTTGCTGCATAAAGAACCAACTTGGGATGGCACACACTCACAGTGAGACGACGTCTGATGGGAAGGTGTGAGGCACCAATCGGACATTCTCACACAGGGCATTGTCTTTCGTGCAGGTGCACCCAGAGGGGCATCTGGACTGTCTCATTCTCCGTCCCTCGGCCAGCAGCAGGGTGAGAGCAGTGAACCAAACCAGGAGACTCCGTCCTCTCCATCCTCTGCCCGGGTATCCCATCTTCTCCGTCTGTCCCGGAGCAGTCCTGCACTTTAAAAGAAAAAAACAACAACTTCCAGACAAAAATAATCTGCAGCAGAGGAGGATGTTGCTGTGATGTTGCTGGCTTGTTCTGATGCAGGCTTCTCTTTCTATCTCTTGCGTCTCAGCAGGAACCAGTCCAGAGGATTTGCTGTGCAAGGATTACAAATGTGGGATAGTGCACATGTGAAAATTTCACTGTTGGAACAAATGATCTCATGAAGAAAGAAAAAAAAAGAAGAAGAAAAATCACCCGTTTCCTATTAGTTTCCTGCCTTTGATGCTGAATGATGTCGAGAAAACAAGCCCATCAGACAGAGAAAGAAAGGACTGAGATGGAGGAGGGGAAGGAGCCCTAAGGTGCATTTTTTTTTTTTTTTTTTTTTTGTAATCAGCGCTGCCAGCTCTTATTTATGAGCGCCTTAGAGCCGAGCGTACTTAATGGGGAGCGTCTATTCATGAGGCTCTGTGTAAATGCACCTGCCCCACTCATTCAGATTCCTCCCTGCTTCTGCATGACAATGAAATTAAGGGGGGAAGGAAAGAAGAGAAAGCTTAAAAACAAACCCAAATCTGTTCATATATCCAAACAACAAATGGTAGACTGTTCCTGTTTCTCTATTTTGTTGATTTCAGTAGTAAGTTAGGAAACACTGGACCTTTGTTTCCAGACTGTGGTGAACTTTCATCCCTGCAGTCTATCATAACCCTGGGAATGAAATGAAATGGAACAATGCTTTCTTTATTTCCCATTCATGGTTCATAAGCCTACAAACACCCTTTGTTTTTCAGTGGAGATGAGTGATATGAACCCTTACGAGCTAATTAGTGTAGTGTAATTGAGCTATTTGATTCAAAATAAAAGCACATTGTTGTTCCATGTCTTTGATTTTGGATATATTTTCACATGTTGATTTGTTTTTCAAGGATGGTTTGCTAATATACAGAATGCTGATTCAGCATTTACACTATTGTTTGTTAGTACGTGCAGTTTTAGACATTCTAATATGAAAATATTTAGCTTGTTTTAGGAAATGGGTGCAATAAATTTTGTTTTTAATAATTCTCATACTTTTCAAAATATTTACTGTTATTTAGAAATAATTTCACTTGGAATTAAATTAAACTCTTTTCATTTTCTTAAAAATAGTTCTTTTTTAATTATATTTCAGCCACCATACTCTGTTGTATGTATTTATATACCGTTTCGCTACCTTTAGCTTTTGGCTTTACCTAGTTTTAGCCTTTACCCAGTCCTTTGCTACTTTAAGCTACCATTCTACAAGCCTTTTTAAAAAAAAAATACATTTAGATAAAGCTTTAAAAATTTTGGCTTAAGGCTAAAAATTAGCCAATTTCAATATTTTGTTAGCGTTTTAGTTACTTTATATCAATTCTTCCTATTTTTAGCTTCTTGCTATTTTCAACTTTTAGCTTTTAGCTACCATTCTGCTACATTTAGCTTTAAGCCAGACTTTTTTTTGCTACTTTAAGCTACCATTTGCTATTTTTAGCAAGCCTTTTGATACAATTGATTTTAAACCAGTTTTTGATAGTTTTAGATTATAGCTAGTATTTAGCTTTTAGCTGACATTTTGCTCCTTAAAGCTTTTAAAGTCAACAATGTTAGCAGTCATTCAGCACTAAGCATTCACTCACAGAAAACACAATTTCTCTGCCACTTTTGTTGATTTTAGAACAAAAATCAATGATGTTTAACAAGCAAAAAACTACAAACACAACCCAAACTTTGGTTAAGTTACCATTTTTGTTTGGTGTAAGATGTGCAGTTATGTTAGAGGTTTTTTCCTGTTCAAAAAGCATTCAATACAAAAACAACTTTTTTCCTGTTAAAAGGGAGTTTTTCATTTCCAGTTACCTTTGTGCTTGCACAGGATGGGCCACTGCAATGAAATGAAGATGAAGATTCAGCAATCTGCTGGCTTCCTTAGATAGATAACTTTACTAATTGGCTTTTATGTATGTGAATGCTTTTGTACAGTACCCTGAAACATCTTCTGTTGGTGCTATGTAAATAAACAGAATTGAATTGAGATTTATAATAGTCCTTCATATAAATTTCTTTAATAAACTATTTTTAAAATACGTTCTTCAATGGTGTATGTGCACATTTACCGTCTGTATATGCATTGCTTTTTCATACAGAATTTCACAACACACTAAACGTCATTACGCAGCGACTGGTGTTTACGTCATCATCTTGCGACGGTCGGTTCGTTTTGTAAACATTTGTTATTTTAAAGCCCCTTGCTGGAACAGCGAATAAACTCATGGAGAATCTTGTGAAGGTAAACTATATTATATTAAATAAACAAACTCGTTTCTTGTGAATATTCTGAAAAGCGTTTTAGCGACCCGTGTGACTGATTTTTGTCAAGTAAAATGAGAACGATCGAACATAATCAGTCTGTGAGCTTTTTGTTTGCCTATTGTTGTCATTTGCTGACAGTGTTGGAAACCTTATTATTCTTGCAAACGGGTTTACAAATCTACAGAATGACACAATGAAAGGACTGAACAGGTTTTATGTTGTGATTTTTACCTTTTTTGTTTATTTAAGGCAAAATACAATTTGTTTAATGTTTTATTTACAAAACATCTAGGGATTAGTAATATACTATTTTTTAGCTATAACCTGTCAGTTCTAAACCGTTTTCAGAAATAAGTGCATAGAGCACTTTCACTGTGCTGAATATTTTAATGCAAAGTTCCAATATCATAAAGATACAATCACATTGCTACCCTTTTTGTGCTTCCCAACACTTATTTTAAATTTATCAAAGGCGTGATAAAATCAAGACATTTAGAGTAACTTGTGTCTTGTTAGGATAAGAGATAATAGTCTTAATTACGGTGGTGTTTGAAAGTTTGTGAACCCTTAAATTTTTCTATATTTCTGCGTAAATATAACCTACATCATCAGATTTTCACACAAGTCCTAAAAGTAGATAAAGAGAATCCAGTTAAACAAATGAGACAAAAATATTATGTTTGGTCACTTATTTATTGAAGAAAATGATCCAGTATTACATATTTGTGAGTGGCCGGTGTGCAGGAGTAATCAACATTTACTGGAAATGTTTAGTAGCAATTATGGCTGCAATAGTGGGGAGGAGTGTCACCAAATCAAATAAATGACAAAGTATAATATTTTTGTTTCATTTGTTTAACTGAGTTCTCTTTATCTACTTTTAGGACTTGCGTGAAAATCTGATGATGTTTTACGTCATATTTATGCAGAAATATTGAAAATTTTAAGGGTTCACAAACTTTCAAGCACCAATGCAAGACTTAAGACTTTCAGAAACATTAACAACTGGTAAATGGTTTATAAAAGAGACAAACAGAATGTTTAATTATCTGCACATACTTTTTCTATGTGGTAATATTTCTGATCAGGGATGCATAAGTGACTGTGTATAAAGTATGCCTAATTTTAAAAGTAGATGTGTATTGTTGTTAGTGCATCATGTGTGACTTGAATGAGTTTTTGTATTTCATCAGGTCCATGGAGGTGGTGGCTATGACTCTGAATTCAGTGATGAGGATGATGATGATGATGATGAACAGGGGGGACCCTCCGAGAAAGCTCTGAAAAGGTAGAATTAGTGATTCAAATGTTGAGCTCGGAGAAAAACAAATTCAGAACAAGCCCAGTTGTTTGTGTGTGTGTCTATCCTTCCATCAACCCAGTAGCTTACATTTAGCCTGCAGTTAGTAGACAGCCTTAACAATGTCATCAGTTTTGTGTTTCTTTCTCACATTTGACAGAAAGCGTGAGAAGGAAATCTTACAGAAGCCGTTTCAGAAAGATCGGCACTCTAAGGTGGCTCATCGCAGTTTACACCACAATGAAGTGGACAGGTACTGTTGCATTGAAACCTGCATCACTTGGTTTCATTTTTACCTGCTTTTTCATTTAGTAGTATCTTATTGTGTAAATGTTGGATAACAAGTATTAGCTTTGTGTCAAGTTAAATGGTATACTCAGTAAAACTTAATTTTGCCTGCACTTTGCATCCACATGATGTATAACAGCTTAAATTGACAAAATTTAAAATTTCAACAGATTATAAATTTGGATCAGCTGGTGTCCCTATTAACTGTCTTTATATATGCCCTTTTATTGTTTTGACTTCTGATTCATCTGTATATACAGTAGCATTATTCTTAGAACAAAATCAAAAGCTTAAAGGCTTGCAGAAAATATAATGTAATGGTAAACCCTTAAGAAAAGTGCCCTGCTCTCCCTTTTACATTTGCATTTAAATTTCTAATGACTAATTCTATACTACTTTGCTGGGTTACATTTTGTATTTTTTAAAGTGAAAGTTTTCAGAGATGCTGTCTACAATATTAAATTTTTACATATGGCTTTTGTTTTTTTCTCCTGTTTTTCAGAGAGGAAGCCAGGAACAGACGAGCTCACCTCATATCACTTAACGCTGTATCCTTTTTATTTGCCTTTACTCGTTCTCCTTTATGAGCTTAAGAAGAAGAAGAAAAAGCTGCTTATATCAAGTTCATATTTTATTATCTTCACTTAAGATCAATTACGACACAAGTTTTATTATTTTGTTTATTTTCAGACATTAAACTTGAACATTTTTATGAGTAACCATTGATGACAAACAGATCCTAAACAAACTGGCTGCAGTTTGAGCGACATAAGAAGTTTGTCGGCGACTACATTTTGTATTACGGAGGACAGATGGCTGACTTCAGACGCTCCATGTAAGTGTTCTGCCTCACAGCTTGACAATCCATTGTCTGCTGTCTCCTATTAAATTAATGAGAATTTGTTTTCTGCGTCACACCATTGGATGCACATTGTTTTCATTCTGTTAAATGCATAATTAAAGTCAGTCCCAGCGCTAATTAATCAGTTTATCTGTTCTCGTTATCTTTTTAATTTTTGTTTGGTTTCAGAGCTAAAGACAGAACGGATCTGGATGTGCTGCGTGAACATCATCGTTTCCTCTGGAAGGATGAGGATGAGGAAGACATGACATGGTGATCACACAAAGTCAGCTGCTCATCTAATGTGTCTTTAATGTTCAGCTGATCTCAGATTGTTCTTTTAAAAAAAAGAAAAAAATACACATATTCAGTCTCTTGTAACCCAAATAGTTTGTACCTAGTAAGACAATTAGCTTGTTTAAAAAGCTTTTGGACTGTTTTCCTCTCTCACAATGTTGTCTTCTAAAGGGAAAAAGAACTTGCCAAGAAGTATTACGACAAGCTGTTTAAGGAGTACTGCATAGCTGACCTAAGCAGATACAAGGACAACAAGGTGAGCTACTACAACCTCAATTCTGACAAAGCAGGGATGTTTTGTAAAATGCAAAATAAAACAGAATACAATGATTTTCACACATTATAAACACATTTTATTCTCAGTGGAACCCAATAAATTAATGTATCAACTATTTAAAATGAGAAATTGTACATTTTTTTAATAGAAAAATAAAGTATTTTATAATTGTATGAAAGTGACACATTCAAAAAGGATGGGACAGGGCCATGGAACCCTCTGTGCAACATCCACACATCTTTTAACAACATACTGTAAACATCGAGGAGCTGAGACCAGTTCTTGTTTTATTTTGGGTTTTTTTGGCCCAATTTTTTGTTTTATGATGAGTCAAATTTATTTAATTTGTGAGAAGGCTGAACTGCAGCCAGGTCAGTTCAGACCTCAGACTCCTCCTATAAAGCCATGTTGAAATGAATGCAGTATGGGGTTTAGCATTGTCTTGCTGAAATACTATATATCCACCATCAGAGAGACCACAATATGAAGTGTGCACTGATAACAGGACAGATGTTCATTTTTCTCTTTAGTATGGAGGAAGTGGTGTATGTGATCCCACCCCCAAAATAAAAATAAATCAACATTTGATTTGTCTGACCACAGAACAGTTTTCTCCTTTTCCTCAGTCCATTTAAAGGAGCTCTGGTCCAGAGAAGATGACAGTGTTTCTAGATAGTGTTATATGGCACCTTCTTTGCACGATAGAGCTTTAACCCGCATTTGTTCCTGAGTCCGTGCAGTGATGTCCAGAACAGAATCAGACATCCAATACAGACGGTCACAGCTCAGAGATGTCTCCAAATTCTTGAAATCGCTTGATGATATTATGAACTGTAGATGATGAGCTATTCAAAATAATCCCTTTCTTTTTAAAGAACATTATTCTGAAATTGTTCTACTTTTTTAGATGTAGATTGGTGAACCTCTGCCCATCGTTACTTCGATATATATC